CCTCATGATAAGATGAAATAGGTCTTTAATTTAAATGACAGATATTAGTTCAGTCCAGTTATCCCTTTCAAAGAGTTTATTAAGCAGAAAATAGTGCCAATTTTATTGCTTGTATGGTATCCCACGGGGTATCCCAGAGGGACTAGGATAGCTCATTTCGGGTAGTAGCAAGTTGAAATGGCCTTACAGCCTCACTCAGTTTGTAGAACACTGGCATGACACATGGCCCCTTTCCAGGCTAGGTGCTAAAATACTTGTGGTTTTTCTAGTACTAGGAGTGAGTCCTCTAGAAATTGGCTGACAATTGTGATGTGAAGCACATGTTAAGGTATTTGAGAGGGCCCCCATAAATAGTACCTTTCCCCCTCTACAGTCAGGGGAAAGGTTTCAGAGCCTAATGAGAAATAAGACAAAGAGTAAGTACATATGTGTCTGTAATGAGAACTAGGGTGGAAGGACATAGCTTATATCTGTGAACAAATAGACTTCCTTATACTGGGCGTCCACCTTAGGGAATCTTAGCATCCCCCAGATATAGCAGCACTCTCCAAGTGAAGTCTCTATCCAGGTAAGACTTATGTTGGGGGGATGTGAGAAGACAGCTCTTGTGTGACTGGGCCTGGGCTCAAGGAAGAGGGGGAGGAGTTGAGGTGAGCACTTAGGCATGCCCAGTTTATTCTTTTCAAATTTGCCAGCTAGGTGAAGCATTGTATTTCCCTTTGGGCAGAGTGAATAGAGGAACAGTGAGAGGCTAAAAGTTTTACATTAATTTATTCTAGCTACGTGGAAGGAAACATCAGGAATGGGGAGGAAGAAGCATTCTCTCCAGTACTCATTCTGAGAAAGGAAATGTGTTGAAGCCTGAAGAAGTTCAAGTATCTTTAAAATTTCTTTTCTAGCAACTTACAATTCATACTACATGATAATAATAATAGGAAGAAAAGCTAACATGTTGAGAATTACTACTTTTTATGACCTGGATTAAGTTTTACTTTATGTTATCTCATTTAATTTCCCAAATGCCTTGTGTTTTGTTGTCTCCATTTTATAGATGGTGGAACTAAGGGCACAGAAATGAAATGCTCAAGGACGTATAGCTAGTGGAGTGAACCTAGATCTTGCTCAACGTCTTCTCATTGTTTTAAAGTATTTTTTCATACATACATACATATATACATAGATACGTTTATGTAAGAAAAATATGTGAATTTGGATTAAAAAAGCAATACATTCATGCGATAATAATCTAAACAATGTAAAAATGTCTAAAGTAGAATTAGTGGACCCCTTCCCCACAACCTACATCTATTGTAATCACCGTTTACAGAATGTTGTATAACTTTTTATGTCCTGTCTTTATATATTTACATATGTATATTTTATTTTTAAACAAATACAGGATTATATTATACATAGAATTCTTTAATGTATAATTCAATATCTTTAATTGACATATAACTTATATAAATGCTGTGATAGTTAGTGTATATATATTACAAATATTTTCTTCCAGTTTAAGACACTGTAAGGCTTAATGGTGTCATTAGGAGCAGAAATTTACAATTTTGATGAAGTTTAATTTTAACAATTTTTAAATTTTATGCTTAGTGCTTTTTTTCCCTAAGGAAACTTTGCATACCTCAAAATAGCCAAGATATTCTTATAATCTCTTCTAGAAGGTTTTGGGTTCTAACTTTTGCATTTAGGTTTGTGATTCATCTCAAATTAATTTGTGAGTATAAAGTTTTCTGAGATGTGTTTTATGGTCCAGAATATAGTCTAACATGGTGATGTTTCATGTGATCTTGAAAGAATGTGTATTCTACTTTTGTTGAGTGGGGTGTTCTATGGATGTCAAGTTGGTTGATGGTGTTATCCTGACTGACTTTCTGGCCACTTGTTCTTTCAGTTATTGAGAAAGGATATTGAATTCCCCAACTAAAATTGTGGATTTGTCTATTTATTCTCTCAATTTTATCGATTTTTGCTTTAGGTATTTTGAAGTTTTGTTATTAGGCGCATAACTATTTACGATTGTTATATCCTCTTGTTGAATGACTCTTTTATCATTATGAAATGACCATTATCCCTGGACATATTCTTTGCTCTGAAATCTACTTTTCTGAAGTAGCATAGCCACTCTGGCTTTCTTTTGATTTATGTTAGCATGGTATATCTTTGTTCTTTCTTTTACTTTTAACCTATCTGTGAATTTATGAGGGTTTCTAGGAGACAGCCTGTAGTGTCTTGCTTATTAAAAAAATCTAATTTGAGAATCTCTGCCTTTTAATTAATGTGTTTAGACCTTGTGTTTAGTGTGACTCTTGAAATAGTTGGGTTTAAATCTACCACCTTGCAATTTTTGTTCTATTTGTCTGTCTTTTTTTTCGTTTCCTTTTCTCTTTTCCTACCTTCTTTTGGATTAATTGACTTTTTAATGATTGCATTTCCCCTCTTTTATTGGCTTATTGTACTTTTTTTCTTTATAGTACAATTGGTCTTTCATATCCATGGGTTCCACATCTGCGGATTCAGTCAACTACTGTCGAAAGGCCTATAATGGTTGCATCTGTACTGAACATGTACAGACTTTTTTCCTTGTCATTATTCTCTAAACAATACAGTGTAATAATTATTTACATTGTATTAGGTACTGTAAGTAGTCTAGAGATGATTTAAAGTATACTGGTGGATGTGTGTAGGTTATATGCAAATACTATACCGTTTCATGTAAGAGACTTCAGCATCCATAGATTTTGGTATCTGTGAGGAGCCTTGGAACCAATCCCCTGTGGATACTGAGGGATGACTGTATATACCTCCAATTTATCACAATTGACATTCAAGTAATTATATATAGACATATATAATATATAAGAACCCTATATAAGAACCTTTCACCAGAATGCATCTTATACTCCTCTTCTAGCTTTTCTATTATTGTTGTACATTTTACTTCTGCATATTTTTTTTGCTTTGTTTTTCAGCATTGAGGTATCATTGACAAATAAAATTGTAAGATATTTAAAGTGTATAAACTGATGATTTGATATATGTATACATTTTGAAAGGATTCCCCCATTGAGTTAATTAATACATCAGTCACTTAATGTATAACTCCCCCTGCCCTGTTTGAGTGACAACACTTAAATTCTATTATTTTAGCAAATTTCAAGTTTACAATACAATACAGTGTTATCAACTATTGTCACAGTGTTTTACATTAGATCCTCAGACCTTATTTGCCTTATAGTTGAAAATTCGTACTCTATTTCCTTCACCTTTACCTTTGTTTTTGAAAGATGTTGTTGGGTATAGATGTGTAGATTGTCAGTTATCTTTTTTCTTTTTCTTTTGATACTTTAAAGATTCCACTCTGCTGTCTTCTGGTTTGCATTGTTTCTGATGATAAGTCTCCTGTCTTACTTATCTTTGTTTCTCTTTCATAATGTGTCTTTTTGGGGCTGGCCCTGTGGCCAAATGGTTAAGTTAGCATACTCTACTTTGGTGGCCCAAGGTTTTGCAGGTTTGGATCCTGGGCGTGGACATGGCACCGCTCATCAGGCCATGCTGAGGCAGCATCCCACATAGCACAAACAGAAGGACCTACAACTAAAACATATGACTAGGTACTGGGGGGCTTTGGGGAGAAGAAGAAGGAAAAAAAAAAAGAGAAGGTTGGCAACAGATGTTAGCTCAGGTGCCAATCTTAAAAAAAAAATGTCTTTTTACTCTAGCTGCTTTTAAAAGTTTCGCTTTATTACTGGTTTTTAGCAGTTTGATTATGATGTGCGTCGGTGTGATTTTTCTTTGTTTCTTCTGCTTGTATTCATTGAATTTCTTAGATCTAGAGTTATTAATTTTCATGAATTTGAAAATTTTTCAGCCAGTATTTCTTTGAACAAGTATTTTTTCTGCCCTCCTCCCCCACATACACCCTTTTGGGATTCTCACTACACATACATTTTGGTCATTTGAAGTTGTCCTGTAGTTCACTGATGCTCTGTTCCATTTTTTTTTCAACTTTATTTCCTTTTGTTTTTATTTTGGATACTGTTTGTTGCTAATTGCCATGTCTGCAGGTTCACTCATCATTTAATCTACAGTCTAATCTATTAATCCAATTTAATGTATTTTTCATATAAGACATAATCTCTGGCATTTTGGTTTGGGTCAATTTTATATCTTCTGTTTCTCTCCTTATCATTCTTATGCTTTCCTCTTCCTTGAATATATGCACTATATTTATAATAGCCATTTTAACATATTTTTCTTCTACTTCTGTCATCTGTGTCATTTCTATTGATTGAATTTTCTTCTTATGAGTCGTATTTTCCTGCTTCTTTGCATGTGTGGTAATATTTAATTGGATGTCAGACATTGTGGTTTTATATTGTTGAGTGCTGGAGTTTTTTGTTTTCTTTTAAGAACTTTGATGCTTTTTCTTGGACTCATTTAAGTTACCTGGAAATAGTTTGATCCTTTTTGAGGTTAGCTTTTAAGCATTGTTGGGATGACCCAGAATAGCCTTTAGGGTTAATTTGATCACACCACTGAGGCAATACCTTTCTTAGGACTTTCCTGGATGCCCTTGATGTATTTAGGTGGTCTTTGGCTGATTCTTGCAGTGATTATTCCTATCCATGAGTGATTTCTGTGGATTGTTCTGCCTGCTCCTTATGATTTTAAAATTATCTTCCAATTTTTATGTTATGCTTATATTGTGTATTTTCCAGATTATTTCAGCCTTTTAATTTTTATTAAACCATTAAAATTGTTGTACTAGGTTTAGTGATTAAATGATTATTTGTAATAGTTTCATAGTAGCCTCAAAGAATGATCACACTTCCTTAAATACCTAGCACATCCATGGGCAGATGATACACTATTGGTATCAGACCTTTATTTGCAATTGTTATGAAGAAATTACGTGTATATATCTCTCATACTAAATAACACCCTTTTAATCTTCTTGTTCTTTGCGCTCTCTCATCCTCTAGGAAGAACGTGTTGTGAATCACATGGCAGCAAAGATTATTGAAAATGTCTGCACTACCTTTTCTGCTCAGGCCCAGGGCTTTATTACAGGAGAAATTGGACCTGTTTTGTGGTACCTATTCAGACATTCCACTGTGGATTCTCTTAGGATAACAGCAATATCGGTAAGATGGAGCATCTTTTGGGCATATATCTGGGTATATTTAAACACCAAGTTTGAAGAACTGTGCCAGAAATAGTCGATTTAATTGGATAGGTAGGAAACAAATCTCAGAGTAATGGTTGGTGAGAACAATAACTTGATTTTCTCCTAAAGCAGAATTTTCAAAACTGGGGCTGGGAAACCTTGGGACTGTCAGAAAATTCCAATAGAACCTTGTGGGACCGTGACATTATGGTTTCAAAAACTATTTGGAGGTATAGTGGAAAACTGGCAGTGAATAGGGTGCAGAATTTGGGTTGGTTTATTTTTAGCATTCCCTGACTTTTCCTGTTAGTTCCCTCTTTCAGATTTTGTGTTAAATGAGTTTATCATGTGGTTCTAATGAATTCATTTTAATGTTTAGGCATCTGTGGTTTTGCAGGTTTTCTATTTTAATCGATTGTCTGCTACTTTGCTCACATGGTTATAATGACTTGGTGTAAAGGATAATTATGTGTGAAGATGTATTAACATGATTGTATCAATTTAATAGTCTGTTGAACAAATACAACCCCTTTTCCTATGATTTATTTAAATACTCTTTTTGATCACCAACCTCATCATACTCTCAGCCTTATATGGTAGCCTCACTGTATTTCTCTCACCTGCTCATTCTTGCACTTCTCACTGTGGCAGTTTCATAACTTGTCCTCTTTCCTTAAACCTCCAGTCCCACATTTTCCTCTTGCATCCTCAGTAAATGACTTTCCCCCGTACCTCCCAAAGAAAATGCATATCCCCCTTCACAGCATTACTTCTTTGCAGAGTTATTGCCACAAACTGTCACTCCTTTCTGGCCTGTTCCCTCTTCAACCCAATCTGGTATCTGTTCTTAAAATGCCACTGAAGCTGGTCTTGCTAAGATGTCTAATGACCTTCATGTTGCTAAATCCTGTGGATATTTTTGGATATTTTTCAATTCTAATATTTACCTATGTAATTTTGAAAATCAAGGGCTAACAGTCCTCCTCACTGAATATCATTAAGCAAAGGTTATATAGCATCCATCACACACATCTATCTGCTTCAGGAACCACATGATCTCAAAATCACGAAAAACCCTCTTTTGAGAAATGTCTGTTCATGTCCCCTGCCCATTTTTTGATTGGGTTGTTTGATTTTTTGTTGTTGAGTTGTGTGAGTTCTTTATATAGCATGGAGATTAATCCTTTATCAGATATATAACTTGCAAATATTTTTTCCCAATTGATGCATTGTTTTTTTTGTTTCAATCCTGTTTTCCCTTGCCTTGAAGAAGCTTTTTAGTCTAATGAAGTCCCATTTGTTTATTGTTTCTATTGTTTCCCTTGTCTGAGAAGACATGGTGTCCAAAAAGATCCTTTTAATACTGATGTCAAAGAGTGTACTGCCTATATTTTCTTCTAGAAGCCTTATGGTTTCAGATCTTACCTTTAGGTCTTTGATCCATTTTGAGTTTATTTTTGTGAATGGTGAAAAAGAACTGTCAATTTTCATTCTTTTACATGTGGCTATCCAGTTTTCCCAGCACCATTTGTTGAAGCACCATTTCTTTTTTCCATTGTATGCCCTCAGCTTCTTTGTTGAAGATTAGCTGTGCATAGATGTGTGGTTTTATTTCTGTTTCATTGATCTGTGCACCTGTTTTTGTACCAGTACTGTGCTGTTTTGATTACTGTAGGTTTGTAGTATGTTTTGAAGTCAGGGATTGTGATGCCTCCAGCTTTGTTCTTTTTTCTCAGGATTGCTTTAGCGATTCGGGGTCTTTTGTTGCCCCATATGAATTTTAGGATTCTTTGTTCTATTTCTGTAAAGAATGTCATTGGGATTCTGATTGGGATAGTGTTGAATCTGTAGATTGCTTTAGGTAGAATGGACATTTTAACTATGTTTATTCTTCCAATCCGTGTGCATGGAATCTTTCCATCTCTTTAGGTCGTCATCCATTTCTTTCAGGAAAATCTTGTAGTTTTCGTTGTATAGGTCTTTCACTTCCTAAGTTAAATTCACCCCAAGGTGTCTTATTCTGTTTGTTGTGACTGTCAATGGTATTGTGTTCTTGATTTCTTTTTCTGTTACTTCATTATTAGAGTATAGAAATGCTACTGATTTATGTAAGTAGATTTTATTCCCTGCAGGTTTGCTGTAGTTGTTGATTATTTCTAAAAGTTTTCCGATGGATTCTTTGGGGTCTTCTATATATAAGATCATGTTGTCTACAAACAGCGAGAGTTTCACTTCTCCCCTCCCTATTTGGATTCCTTTTATTCCTTTTTCTTGCCTAATTGCTCTGGCCAAAACCTCCAGTACTATGTTGAATAAGAGTGGTGCTAGAGGGCATCCTTGTCTCGTTCCTGTTTTCAGGGGGATAGCGCTCAGTTTTTGCCCATTGAGTATGATGTTGGCTGTGGGTTTGTCATATATGGCCTTTATTATGTTGAGGTAATTTCCTTCTATCCCCATTTTGTTCAGAGTTTTTATTATAAATGGCTGTTGTATCTTGTCAAATGCTGTCTCTGCATCTGTTGAGATGATCATGTGGTTTTTATTCCTCAATTTGTTGATGTGATGTATCATGTTGTTTGATTTGCGGGTGTTGAACCATCCCTGTGTCCCTGGTATGAATCCCACTTGATCATGATGTGTGATCCTTTTGATGCATTGCTGAATTCAGGTGGTCAAAATTTTGTTGAGAATTTCTTTTGTTGTTGTTAAATTTTTTTTGTTTTTTTTTAAAGATTGGCACGTGAGCTGACAACTGTTGCCAATCTTCTTTTTTTTCCCCTGCTTTTTTTCTCTCCAAATCCCCCCAGTACATAGTTGTATATTTTAGCTGTGGGTCCCTCTAGTTGTGATATGTGGGATGCTGCCTCCACATGGCCTAATGAGCAGTGCCATGTCTGCGCCCAGGATCTGAACCCTGGGCCCCCGAAGTGGAGCGTGTGAACTTAACCAGTCGGCCATGGGGCTGGCCCCATCTTGGGAATTTTTGCATCTATGTTCGTCAGAGATATTGACCTGTAGTTCTTCTTTTTTGTGCTGTCCTTGTCAGGCTTAGGTATCAGAGTGATGTTGGCCTTGTAGAATGTATTAGGAAGTGTTCCATCCTCCCTAATTATTTTGAATAGCTTGAAAAGTATAGGTATTAAATCCTCTCTGAAAGTTTGGTAGAATTCCCCAGGAAAGCCATCTGGTCCTGGGATTTTATTCTTTGGGATGCTTTTGATTGCTGTTTCAATCTCGTTGTGATCGGTCTGTTCAGATTGTCTGTTTCTTCTTGACTTAGCTTTGGGAGATTGTAAGAGTCTAAGAATTTATTCATTTCCTCTAGGTTATCCATTTTGTTGGCGTATAGTTTTTCGTAATATTCTCTTATAATCCATTGTATTTCTGTGGGGTCTGTTGTTATTTCTCCTCTTGCTTTTCTGATTTTGTTTATTTGAATTTCCTCTTTTTTTCTTTTAAGTCTGGCCAGGGGTTTGTGAATTTTATTTAACTTCTCGAAGAACCAGCTCTTTGTTTCATTGATCCTTTCTTCTGCCTTTTTTGTTTCAATAGCATTTATTTCTGCTCTGATTTTTATTATTCCTCTCCTTTTGCTGACTTTGGGCTTTCTCTAATTCAGTTAGGTGTAATTTGAGATTGTTTATTTGGGATTTTTCTTGTTTGTTAAGGTGTGCCTGTATTGTGACGAATTTCCCTCTTAATACAGCTTTTGGTGTATCCCAAATGAGTTGGTATGGCATGTTATCTTTTTCATTTGTCTCCAGATATTTTTTGATTTCTTCTTTAATTTCTTCAATGATCCATTGCTTGTTCAATAGCATATTGTTTAGTCTCCACATCTTTGTCCCTTTGTCAGCTTTTTTCTTGTAATTAATTTCTAGCTTTATAGCATTATGATTGGAGAAGATGCTTGTTGTTATTTCAGTTTTTTAAAATTTATAGAGGCTTGCCTTGTTTCCCAACATATGGTCTATCCTTGAGAGTATTCTGTCTGCACTTGAGAAGAATGTGTATTCTGCTGTTTTTGCATGGAGTCTTCGATATATGTCTATTAAGTCCTACTGTTTTAGCTTTTCATTTAATTCCACTGTCTCCTTGCTGATTTTCTGTCGAGATGATGTATCCATTGATGTGAGTGAGGTGTTGAGGTCCCCTACTATTATTGTGTTATTTTTAATATCTTCTTTTGGGTTTAATAGTTGCTTTATGAACTTTGATGATATTTATAAGTGTTATTTCCCCTTGATGGAAGGTCTCTTTGATCATTATATACTGCCTCTCTTTACCTGTCTTATCTTGAAGTCTACTTTGTCTGATATAAGTATTGTGACACCTGCTTTCTCTTGTTTGCCATTGCTTGGAGTATTGTCTTCCACCCCTTCACTCTGAGCCTGTGTTTGTCATTGGAGCTGGGATGTGTTTCCTGGAGGCAGCAAGGTGTTGGGTCTTGGTTTTTAATCCATCTCGCCACTTTATGTCTTTTTATTGGAAAATTCAATCCATTTACGTTTAGGGTGAGTATTGATGTATGAGGGCTCTATGCTGTCATTATATCACTGGTTTTCAGGTTCTCCTGCATTTTCTGTTTTCTCGTCCTGTGTGTTTTGGTCTACCCGTTGAATTATGTCGTTTGTTATGATGTATTCCTTTATTTTTTCCTTATTTATTTTTTGTGTCTCTGTTCTGCTTTTTTGTTGAGTGGATACCCTGAGGTTTGTATTCAGAATCTTGTGTATAAGATAATCCATTTTCTGATCCCTCTTATTTCCTTAGTCTAAACTGATTCAGTCCCTTTCCTTTCCTCCTCTCCTAAGTTGTTTTTCTCATATCTTATTCCAACTTGTGTTGTCAGTTTGTGGTTAAAGTGACAAGATTGTCTTTGTTTTTGGTGTTTTCCTTCCCTTTAGCCTAAGGCTATAGTTGAATATTTGTTATCCTGTTCTGATACTGTCTACCTATTTATCTCCTTACTCTGTGTTTTTTGACCCCTTTTTCCCTTTTGTTCTTTTTTCAGGTATGAAGGCCTTCTTGGGGAGGTCTTGTGGCTATGAAGTCCCTTAGCTTTTGTTTTTCTGGGAAAGATTTAATTTCTCCCTCATATGTGAAGGGCATTTTTGCTGGATAGAGTATTCTTGGCTGAAGATTTTTGCCTTTTCAAGTTATGACTATGTCGTTCCATTCTCTTCTAGCTTGTGTCTTAGAGAAATCCACTGAAAGCCTGTTAGGGATTCTGTTGTAGGTTGTTTTCTTTTGCCTTGCTGCCATGAGTATTCTTTTTTTGTCATTCATTTTCGCCAATTTTACTACTATATGCCTTGCAGTAGGTCTTTTTACGAGGAGATTTGGAAGCTTCTTCCACACATATTTCCCTCTCATTCTCTAGATTTGGGAAATTCTCTCCTATTATTTCTTTGAACACACTTTCTGCTCCATTCTCCTTCTCTTTACCTTCTTGTATACCTATAACTCTTACATCGCATTTCCTCATTGAGTTGGATATTTCTTGGAGACTTTCTTCACTTCTTTTTAGTCTTAGTTCTGTCTCCTTCTCTATCTGGAGCATTTCAACATGTCTTCGATTATGCTGATACACTCCTCTATGATGTCCACTCGAGCATTCAGGGAATCTGTGGTTTGTTTTATCTCTTCCATTGTGTGTTTCATCTCTAATATTTCTGATTGATTCTTCTTTACAGTTTCAATCTCTTTTGTGAAGTAGCTCCTGAACTCGTTGAATTGTTTCTCTACATTCTCTTTTACCTGGTTGAGTTTTTCGATGATAGCTATTTTGAATTCATTGTCGTTTATTTTACATAGTTCTGTGTCCTCAGGACTGAGTTCTGGGTGCTTGTCTCTTTCTTTCTGGTCTGGTGATTTGATGTAGTGTCTGATGTTGGAAGGTTGGCTCTTTCTCATTCTGATATTATTCAGTGGCAGTTACAGCCTATTGCCACTGGGTGGGGGTCGAGAGCTGCATATTTTGATCCACTTCTGCCTCCAGATGAGATGGTGTGGGGCCAGTCGGGGTAGTGGTGCTTTCACCTGTGTGCACTCTGGGATTTCTCAATCAGCCCTTCTATCTATTCATGTGAAAGCTTTTGCCCTGTTAGAGGGCTTCTCTTGAGGATACAAGGGTTCTAGGGAGTCCTGGGTGATCCTGAGAATGAGCAGTCCCTCTCCCACTCCTTCTCTCATGGATCCTTCCGTGGCAGCGATCACAGTCTTTAGTGGAGGGAGTGAAGTTCTCTCTTAGCCCAATCCAGCTGCTCTGGAGGGGCCTCCACCCTCTGCTCCCTCCATTGTGTGGCTGTGTGTCTCTCCGAGGTTTTTGTGTTCTTAGGATGTCTTTTGCTGGAGTGTGGATGTCACTTTTTGTTGTTTGTTGGAGGAGAGAGAGTCCTGGGCAACTTCACTGCACCATGATGCTGATGTTACCTTCCTAAACTTCTTGTTTCTTGGTGATTCTGTTTGTGTTTCTTACAGATAGGCAGGCTTCACATGTGAATTAGTCTATTTCTTACAAATTGCCTTTATTAAATAGAGTGTGAGAAATTCTGGAGGTAAGACAATGTTCTTTTTAATTTGAAGATCTAATTGGCTTTCTTAAATGATTCATGAATCAGGCAGCACCAGTCTAGCAAGTAGAGAAACACTCCCACAATGTTCCTTTTGAACCAAATTTTGAGGTGAATTTTGAACTGGAACTATTCTTTCCAGTTTTAAATGTAGTCTCAAAATCTATTTTAGTAAGTAACTATTTCAAAACCAAATCATGGAAGAGCACACTTGAGATCTGATTTTTTTGATTCAGAAATTACAGGCACTAAGTGTTGTTAAGCCTCCACAAATCTCTCAACCTTGTTTGATACCCAGAAGTGACCAGGTAAAGGTGCTTTTCTGCATGAGGTTTTCAGAGTGGAATGTCTGTTAGGTTTTTGAGAGCATTCTGAAGATGAGACATACCAGTTGCCCTCATATTGCTTTGAATAAATTTAGAATTAGTGTGGACAAATTTTATCAAGAAATGTCCGTATTGTGATTGGCTTGGTATTTTACATTGATAGTCAGTTTTTCTGATGAGACTGTTCACTTGTGTTGAAGTTACATTGGGAAAACCCTTAATTTGCTTGAAAAATGCAGGTTGTAGCTTGACCTATAGGGACTTTACTTTAAATGTTCTTTTTTTCTGAGGAAGATTCACCCTGAGCTAAATCTGTTGCCAATCTTCCTCTTTTTTTAATGTGAGCTGCCACCACAGCATGGCCACTGACAGACGAGCAGTATGGTTCCAGGCCCAGGAACCGAGCCTGCCCTGCTGAGGTGGAGCATGCCGAACCGTAACCAATAGACCTTCTGGGCTGGACCTATAAAATGTTCTATTTTTTAATCCTTGGGTTAAAAAATAATGAAACAATTCTGTTTTGATTTCATAAACAGCAATTTTCTTAGATTCATTACAAATGAATTTTTGAAACTTAGTTCCAGAACCAGGTTTGTTTTTAGTGACTTCATTTTCCATATTCCTATTTTTACTGAAACTTACACAATTTGGACTTTAGACTTGAAGTACCCTACTTTCATAGTTTTAAACCATTATGTCTAATTTATGCATCTATAACTCCCTTGGAAGAAAGAAGAGAGACTGAAATGTTACTTGAAAGGTGTCCAAATTAGAGTTTAATTATACCATGGAACTTCATTCTGATATGGCTATCTGTAAATGAATACAAATCCCTGATATATGTTTGAAGTAGAGTCAATGATTATTATTATTTTTTCTAGCTTTATTGAGATATAATTGACATATAACATTCTGTAAGTTTAAGGTGTACAATGTGTTGATTTGATACACTTGTATATTGCAAAATCATTACTACCATACTGTTAGCTAACATTTCCATCATGTCACATAACTACCATTTCTCTTTTGTGGTGAGAACATTTAAGATGTTCTCTCTTAGTAACTTTGAAGTATATATTACAATATCATTAACTATAATCACCATGCTTTACGTTAGAGTCCCAGAACTTAAACTGGAAGTTTGTAGTCCTTAACCAATATCTCCCCATGCCTCCAGGCTATCTACCATCTGCTTCTGGCAACGGTAAATCTGATCTCTTTTTAAATGAATTTGGTTGTTTTTTTAGATTCCACATATAGGTGAGATCATACAGTATTTGTCTTTCTCTCTGTCTGGCTTATTTCACTTAGCATAATGCCCTCAAAGTCCATCCATGTTATCTCACATGGCAGGATTTCCATCTTTCTCATGCATGAGAATAATATTCCATTGTATATATACAACACATCATCTTTGTCCATTCATTTGTTGATGGGTGCACACTTAAGTTGTTTCCATGGCTTGGCTGTGAATAATGTTGCAGTGAACGTGGGAGTGCAGCTATCTCTTTGAGATCCTGTTTTCATTTGTCGGTGATTATTAAGACAAGACTTGGAATAAGCATCCTATTTGATAATCAGTTCCACGAGGAAAGGGACACTTTTTGGTTTTAGGAAACAGTATATATTTATTGGTTTGCATATGCCCATTTTTCAGGCATTTTTCTTGCCTTTCCAAGCATAATTAATTGTGCCCTCTTCTATTACAGCAGTTACTAAATTCTATTAGTTTATTAAGTACAGGTTTCATCTCTAATAGTCTATGAGCAATTTAGGAAAAACTCAGCGTTGTGATTACCTCAGTTTGAATTCTAGCTTTGCCGCTCACTAGCTATATGTCTTTTGGGCAAGTTACTTAAATATTTTCTGCCTTAGTTTATCATCTATAAAATGGGATTAATAATAATACCATTCTTATATGGGAGAATTAAATGAGATAGTCTTCAGAAATTCTCAGATAGTGTTCTTCACATACTAAAAACAAATGTTAGATATTTACTTTCATGACTATCTTGTTTTTTAGCCCTTATCTTGGTGTCTGCACAAGGAAGACACTTAATAATGTTTCTTGTTACTTAAAGGGAAGTTTTTCTATACAGACTTATAACTTTATCATTTAGTTTCCCGTCATAATTTATATGATTATTATTGTAAGATTCTCTAAGTTTTTAAAATAGCTTTAGTTTTTATTGGCAGTTGGATTTATTGTTTTGTTTTTAAATGTGTTGAAGTTTTCCAACTTTCGTATGCCAGAATAAGTAACGAAGGAGCAAGGTAAGCACCTTCTTTACACAGGAGCGTGTGTTGTCTTTCTGGGGCATAGTTAATGTACTTCGAGCTGTCTGACAGATCTGTTCTCCTGTCTCTGCAGGCTTTGTGTAGAATCACTCGCCATTCTCCGACTGCCTTCCAGAATGTTATTGAGAAAGTGGGTCTGAACTCAGTAATAAACTCCCTGGCCTCTGCCATCTGCAAAGTTCAGCAGTACATGTTGACCTTATTCACTGCTATGTTGTCCTGTGGGATTCATCTGCAGAGACTAATCCAAGAAAAGGTTTGACTTAACTTTCAACTATTACTCGAAAAATTGTTTTCTCCTGCAATTTTAGTGGTTCAACAAGCAATATCATCTCTGTAGAATTTATTTTTCATCTCAAGAGGCCTTTTTGAACTTTGCCAAACCTCTATACCACAGGCTATTCATTTGAAGATGTAAGAATCTTTTAGTGATTAAAATAGGAATCCAGTAAATGGCTCTGCCTGCTTATCCCATTTTAGTAATGAAAAGTTAGAAAATTTATGAGTCCTTTCTATATGCTAGTACTTCTTATGTGTCCTCCTCCTCAGCCCCCATCTCTTTTCCCATATCCTTTGCTTTCCTTGGGGAGGCATCCCTTTATATTGTCTGCTTACTCTCAGTTTTATTCCTTTTCTCATCTAATACTCTCCCGATACAAATCACCTTCAGAGCTCCCTTTCTCCTGTGTTCAGTTTAGTGCCCTTCTAATCCTTTGGTATTCCTTTATTAGTGTTCAGTGAGGTGAAAAATGTGGGCCACGGTTATATATACATTTGGAAGTAATGAGTCAAGGTTAAAGAGATATTTTCACTTGTACAACCTTTCCCAGTTTTTCATATGCTCCTGTGTATTATGAATCTTCTTGAGGGGAATGTCGTGTGCAACGTTCTTTAAACTTATTGGACCAGTTATCCTTTTGTTGGAGGGAGAAACGTGTCAAATTGGAGTTTTGTAGAACAGGGTGAAGGTACCACTGCTAGGAAGTGTAGAATGGAACCACTTGAACACAGTCTTTGCCATGGTTCTTCTGTCTTAAGTGTAACATGTTAAATTTTGTTTTTTATAGTAAAAGTTAAAATTTCAATAATTATTATTAATAGTTGTCATGTGTACATGGTAAACTTGATCTGTGAAAGTCAAAATGGAGAGTAAACCACTTCTTTCCTTACTCTAGTTAGTCTGATTTAGATTCTGTTAAGAAGTTTGAGCCCCAGAGAAAATATTTTTTCTAACTGTCTGTATATCTAATTTTTGCTATTAAAATTTCCATGTCATTAAATGTTGTTACATTGTGTTAGAAAAAGTTCCACTTGATGTTAGCTCAGGGCCAGTCTTCCTCAGCAAAAAGAGGAGGATTGGCAGCAGATGTTAGCTCAGGGCTAATCTTCGTCAAAAAAAAAAAAAGAAATGAGTGATTGAACAATTAGATGTGTTGAATGATAAGTAATCTTTTGATTAGTATAGGTACTTAAAAATTTTTTTATTGTGACAAAAAACAGAAAATATATGATTAGTACTACTGAGTATATTCACATTGTTGTGAAACAGATCTCTTTAAGACTCTGGATTTTGTTTAAAATCTTCTGTTTTAGTAGACCTCTTCTGATGCTGAACTGGCAGAGGAAGGAGAGCTGCCTTGTTTCTGCCAGCTTTGGGTGGAAGTCCAGGTTCCCAGGTGGACTTCTCTTGTCATCCCTGGGGTGTGGAAGAGCCTCTCCTTACTGCTAGGTGGGAGTAGGGGTCCAGGCTTTCTACTAGGCCTTGTCTGATGCCCCATGGGCTGGTAGAGGGGAGGGCTCCTCTTACTGCCTCACTGACACTGGTGGGGTGGGGGTGGGTGCCTCCTTCCTGGTGGAAAGTGGTAAAGGTACAGGCTTCCCACCTGCCTTCTCTGATGCATCCCGACAGGGAGAGGGAGGAGCACCTTGTTAGTGCTATTTATGGATGGAGGGCCGGGCTTCCCATGTGGTCTCTACCGATACCACGCTGAGGGCGAGGATGCCTTGTTATTGCCAGGTTGCGATGAAAGTCCCAGCTCTCCACTTGGTCTTTTCTGATATCACCCCAGCAGGGGGTGGTTTTGGGATGCCTTGTGACAGTCACATGAGGGTAGGAGTCTAGGCTTTCCACTTGCCCTTTGCTGTTGGGGATGGGGCCATGGTTTTTCCATGGTGTTTGTCTGGAGTAGTGTAGCTGTTGTCTGAAAGTTTTCAGTCTTTCTGGGCTGCCCCTTTCTTGGTCCTTTGGCTTGAGCGAGCTGATTTTTCTTACGTATTTGTGTATGTGTGCCCGTTGCTGTTTCTAGGCTCCTGGATTATCCAGAACCCAATCTGGGATATCTGAGGCAAAAAGAAAACTCAGCCAACTCATTGACATGTTGATCCTCAGATGCCGAGGTTCCTAACCATTCTGCTTTCTTCTGTCCATCTTTCAGAGTCTTCTTATGTTTATTTTATGTATAGTGTCCAGGGTTCTAAGTTGTACTTAGTGGGAGGAGTAAGGAAAAGTGAATCTATTCTCTCTTGTCCTATAATTTTTACAGTGTCTCTATGGCAGCTCAGTAATATATCATGAATTCTCATTTAAAATGTAAGGTTCTATTTTTTATTAATTTAAAAGATTTACTGTTTATTGAACATTTACTATGGGCCAGACACTTAGTGCCTTGCAACCCTGTATTATTCACAGATGAGACATAGTGTGTTGAGTAATTTTGTCAAGTTCATAGAGGGTGTAAGTGCTAGAGCTAATACTCATGTCAGACAATAAAAAAGGAAACAGAATAATTTTGGATAATGTTAGTGCGCTGAAGACCATTAAACAGGGTAATGTGTAGAGTGTCTGCATCAGGCAGTGTGCAGTGAGTGCAACCAGACATCAGTAGCCAGGGAGAAGTCCAGGAAGGCCTCTCTAAGTGGGTGACATTCCAGCTGAGCCCTGAATGACAAGGAGGAGCTCACTATGTGAAGCTCTGGGGGAAGAACTTTGTAGTTGAGCTTCCCTGAGGTGAGAGAGATCATAGGGAGATCTGGGAAGAGAAGGAAGGCCAGTGGAGCTGGAGCAGAGCAAACAGGGTGGGAGGGACATGGGAAGAGGCTGAGAAGTAGGAAGAAGACTTGGATGGTGTAGAGTTGTGATATTGGCCTTCCTTAGGGCCAGTGTGAAACAGATCTCCAGAACTTTTTCATCTTACAACACTAAAACTCTATACCCATTAAGCATTTTGTGTGTTATGTTTTAAGATTCTGGATTTTATTTAAAATCTTCTGTTTTAGTAGACCCCTTCTGATGCTGTACTGGCAGAGGACGTGGATATTGTTTTACTTAAAGAAAAATGCATGTATTTGTATCTACATATGTGTTTCAGGGACAGAGTTACCAACTTTATTATTGCTAAGTTGAAGTTTTGTTCAACTCTTTGGTTGTTGATAGGTTAGAATGAGTGGAAGTGGAAGGAACCCAGGAGCAAATACAAGGTTTACTGCCTCCTGTTGGGCAGAGAGAAAGAACTGCATATGTTCTTCTCTTTGGGACAACCGATGCCTGTATATCATGGTCTTTTTAATTGAAATTCAGTCCCCCAAAAGAGGTCTATGCCATTCTTTTTAAATAAAAGAAATTGCTATTTACTGCAGAAAACTAAGAAGAAGCTAAAGAAGAAAACAAAATGAGCTGTAATCTCACTAGCCAGAGATAAGTACTGTTAATATGTTAGATTTCTCTTTTTTTAGTCTTTTGTCTGTGTGTCTGTGTATTTTGTGCACACATTCATAAAATTAAGATCAAAATGTGTTGATGCCTCTTGGCTGTTTTCCTGAATATGGTACTAGGTCATTAAATATTTTCCAAGACCATTTAATAAATTATTATATAATTTTTCCTTTTGTGACCCTGCAGCAGTTTAACTCTCCCCTGCTATTGAACTATTTGCCTCTCCTTTTTTGGTTTCTACTTACTCTGATGCAGTGAAATTCCCGTTACATACATCTCTGTGTCCACCCCTAATAGATTACCACAGGTGTTATCCACGTTTAGAGGACTCTGCATAAATAATGCCAGACTGTTGTCTAGAAAAGTAGATGATGAGAGTGCCATTTACTTGTAATTTAGCCAGCCCTCATTGAAGACACATGCTATATTTCTATAATAATAAAACTTAGAGTTTAAGATTATTTAATTAGCAGCATACTTCATGTTTTCATAGTTATTTGCAGGTAGTAATTAATCTCTCTGATTCTCCATTTGAAATAGTAACTGTAGCTAAGTTTTCTTAAACTCGATTAACTAGATGGTAGTAGTGGTCCCTTCTGAATCACGCTCATATTCTTGAATGGATATGGATGTATTGAAGGAATTTGTTCAGTTCACACTATCACCTGCATTAGCTCTGTGTGGGTATCAGTGTCCCTAGGTGACCGTTACCAAGCAGCCATGTGCATCAATGCTGCATGATTTATTTTGGTCATCATCTTTGAAAGGATCTGCTTGCCTGTAGATATGCAAAATGCCAGAAGATTCCTTTATCCAAAACAAGTGTTATATCTATACACTGTGATGTGAAAAATGAGTGATCGCAGCCATAGTGACAGGGGACTCTCTTGAGTTATAAATTGTGTTCTGCATATTGCAGTAATTGGAGAAATTGGACAAAACAAAAAGAGACAAACCCTTTTCGCATCCCCGCCCTTAACAGCATACCTTTTTGAACCATGGGGTAGATAATATTTTATATGTAATTCTTGCATCACTGCTAGATGTAGGGAATAGGTGACCTTTTCACAATTCACATGCTTGAGTGGCTATGAACAAGAGGCTTCTAGAAGGCGTGACCAGGTGTAAGAAAGCTTTGTAGGTTAGGTGTGAATTTATTTACTCATCTTTGCCCTATAAGCTATTTTTCTTTTTTTTTAATTCCTGATTTACTTTGTAGTTTTATTTTTCTGGTTCTTCCAAGCTGTTAATGTGTCCTACAAATATCCTTCAGGGTCTAGGGCTGGAGGAGTTTGGGAGTTCATAAATGTTGTTTCCTGCTGTTTAGTGGGGGAAAAAGATGTTGGATGAATTCACTGCAATTTTCCTTAATTATAATGTCTAGAAACTTAAAGTAGCTAGTGCTAATCTAGTTTGATTTTTACCACATGAATTTTAGGGTTTACATGATTAATATTGAAAATTCAGAATATGTGGGATATAGAATGCAAACAACTCAAGCGGAGTGCTTACCTCCCTGAGGTAATCTCTGTAAAAATTTTGAT